ACAACCAACAGCAGCTGATTAATATCTCAAAAGCTCAAATAATATCTCAACTACAGCCCCAAATCTCAAATGAGTTGAAAAGGATGTTCTGTGGATGCATTCTCATCTACCTGCCAGCTGTGCTCGAGTGCCTGACCACTGAGATCCTGGAACTAGCAGGAAACACGGTTCATGACGGTGGAAGGACAGGATCGTCCCTCGGCACCTACAGTTCCTTACAGTACAGGTTCCGCAGGGTTCCATACCGGGTCCCCTCCTATTCTCTTTATACCTGCTGCCGCTTGGTGCTATTTTCCGGAAACACAACATGCCCTTCCAATTCTATGCCTATGACTGTCAAATTTACTTCCCCCTAAGACACAATGGTACATGCTCTATTCAACCGCTGCTCAACTGCCTGGCTGACATCAGGGACTGGATGGCTTTAAATTTCTCAAGTTTCAATGAAAAGAAGTCTGAAGTCATGTTGTTCCCTCCCAACGACACAATCACAAACCACTGCATCGACCTTTCCGCTCTAACCCTGTCAGAAAAACAATGAGTCACTAATCTGGGCGTGATAATGGACCCTTCCCTGATCATGCTTCTTCCAACTGAGGCGGCTGTCTAAACTGAAGCCCATATTGTCCAAAAAGAACCTGGAGACAGCAATACATGCATTCATTACATCTAGGCTTGATTACTGCAATTCGCTCCTGTTTGGTATCAGTCAGACCTCCATTGCACGACTACAACTGGTCCAGAATGCAGCAGCCCTATTTTTAACCAGTACAGGCAAAAGAGAGCACATTACACCAGTTTTGCCCTCACTGTACTGGTTACCGGTTCACTTTTGAATCCAGTTCAAAATACTCATGTATGTCTACAAATCACTGAACAGTGTCGCCCCCCCATCTCTCTGATTTGCTACAACCGTATGTCCCACCACGCTCCCTGAGGTCAGCGGACCAGTTGCTCCTCACAGTTCCAGGAACTCGTCTTAAGCGCAGAGGTGACAGGGCCTTCTCTGTAGCAGGACCAAGACTCTGGAACGAGTTACCTCTGCTTGTCAGACAGGCCCCCTCCCTCTCGGTTTTCAAGTCCCGTTTAAAAACTCACTACTATTCAATAGCTTTCAACACAAGATGATCTGTGTTTTGATCCTGTATGCTCCACACTGGTTTGTCGCCATTATCTGCATTGTTTTTTGTCTATATTCTGATTTACCTCATTTTGTATTTTGCTTTGTGTGTTACCTGTTGTTTTGTCTGTACAGCACTTTGGTTGGCCTTGTTGCTGTTTTAAGTGCTTTATAAATAAAGTAGTATGGTATGGTATGGTACAGTTGGCTGTCCACAGCGACGAGGAGCTCGGCAGCCTGCTGGGAGGCGTGGCCATCGCTCTGGGAGGAGTTCTGCCGGCATTCGGGCGGTCCTACAGCCCAAAGGAACCGAGAGGCCAGCCGAGTTTGGGTGGACGGATCAAACGGCATCTGCAGCCAGTTTCTTAGGATCCACTGTGGAATGGACCTTTACAAGAGATCCTTCCTGCCTACAGCCATCAGTATCTATAACATCTCTTAATGAAATGAGGATAACGAGTTACAACAACAAATAATTTCCCTTTGAAATTAATAAAGTATTTTTGAATTGAATTATAGAGTCGCTCTAACCTCCGACATTTGGATTTCAGAGAACGAAGTTCTGGCGTGAACCAGGGTGCAGAGTTGGAGAAGGAGACAGACCGGGTTTTCAAAGGAGCAACAGAGTTAAGGACGTTGGTGAGGCTGTTATTGTAGAATGTGACAAGATCATTCGGGTTAGAAGAATTGAAGGTGAAGAAGGTATTATTAATATGAGACGAAAGAATGTCATGTTTGATATTCTTAATATTACGGAAGGAAAGAATGTGTTGAGGTTTCTCGGAAGAAAATTTAAGATTGACACTGAAGGAAATCATGAGGTGATCAGTAAATGGAAGTTCATCAGAAGAAAAGTTAAGAGGAGAGAGTCCAGAGCAGCATAATAAGTCAAAAGTGTGGCCCTTTATGTGGGTTGGAAAGTTAATGAACTGCTGGAAGCCACAGCTGTCAAAGCAGGATGTGAAGTCTCTGGTGAGGGGGTTGTTGTCTTCATCCATATGAATGTTGAAGTCTCCAAGTAGAATAATGTTGGGTGAAAGAGCTGAGAGATGGGCGATTAGAGCAGCAAAGTCATTTATAAAAGAGTTGTTAATTTTGGGCGAGCGGTAGAAAGTGGCAACAACGGTGGGGGTAGGGCTGGAGAATAGACACACAGTGTGCTCAAAGGAGGGGGAGGGAGGTGTGTGGACAGGCGTGACCTTTCAGTTCTCACGGAGAATAATCGTGAGAACTCCTCCATGGTCAGACTCGTGGGATTTTGCTATGTAAACAAACCCCAGTGGGGTAGATTCATTCAGGTGGAAAAAGTAATTTTGTTGTTGCCCCGTTTCTGTTAGGCAAATAAAATCTAGCTTGCGGTCAGATATTAGATCTTGAATAAGCTGACCTTTGCCAGTGAGTGAGCAAACGTTCAGAAGGCCAAACTTTACGGAGGAGGAGTTGGTAGCGACCGGAGCATTAGCCGACCGAGCTAGGCTGGCTAACAGGCTACTACTGTTAGCTGCCCGAGTATTGTGGCGTGAAGAATGGTGAGAGTCAGACCAGATGGAGTTTATGGGGTTAGTCTTGTCAGCGTGGAGTCTACAGCGGGAGCCACGGTGAATGTATCTCCGACGAGGATGGAAGGCAATGTCCTGAAGAGGGAGCACAGGCGGCACGGCTGGTGGGAAACGAAGGCGAAGGAGCTCGACCGCTGAGTAATGGAGAAGGCCAGACGCCGGGTGGTGGTGGATGAGCAGCTGGAGAGTCCAAACCAGAGCAGGCAGCAGGTAAATCCTAATGAACGACATGCTTGATATTGAGATGGGTCAGAGACTTATGCCTCTTTTCCATTAGTACCTGTAGTACCGGAACAGCACAGCTCTACTCTACTCGGTCCAGTACAGGTTGTGTTTCCATTATGCTTTCAGTACTGGTTCCAGTGGGCGGGGTTCAAATTGACGTCAACACCTTTCATTCAACCTTTATTTAGACAGGTAAATCCCATTGAGCCTCGAGGACTCATTTACAAGACAGACATGATTTAACAAAGAATGATGACAACAATGGACAACAGCGACAACAATAAACAGATATAAAAAGTCATACAATTTATTTTTTTTTTTTAACAAATAGGATGGCTAAAAAAGTAACAAAAAACAGCTAGATTCTAAGGCAAATGTAGAAAACTAAAAACAGGAACATGTCTGCATTGGTCCCTGCCAGGAGTCCAACAGATTCTTAAAGCCACTTAGAGAGGTCAAGGTCAAGAGCTTCAAATGTTTTTGTAAGATATTCCAGGAAACAGGAGCAGAGCAGGAGAAGGCCCTTTTGAGGAACGATGGTTTGAGAGAGGAGTAAAGGAGGCCATCTTTGTGAAAAGAAATCATCCATTAAACAGGGGTGGAGGCCTCCAGGTTCAACTGTCCCCCTCTTACAATGCTGTGATTGCTAGTATCACTCAACCCCCTGTGAATAGTAAACAGCCATCAGGTGCTAATGATCCATTGTTAGGCTGATGGTCCTTCTTGAGCATGTGATCAGCTGGTTCTGGTTGTCAGCAGCAAAACTGGTTGATCCACTCTGAGAAGGTGCTATTTAAGAGACTGAGCTGAAAACAGCACCTCAGACTGAGGAAGTCTCTTGGATGAGAGACGAAACGTTTCTACATTTTTTTGCTTTGTTATGTTTTTTGTTTTTTTGAATGTCCAGAGGACCAGATTGAACTTTTTTGGATTTTTCTACCTGGAATATTGAGCATGCATGGGGATATTTCTTGTAATCATGTTTTTTATGATTGTCTACTGTTGAACTGATAAATATCTCCTGGAGAGTAAACTATATCTTGGATGCAAGTATCAAGCTGTGAAATCCTTCGTTTTCTACAACTGATAGAGGTTGGTCATTAATTATGATGAAGTTTAGCAACTTCTCTGTAAACATTCGAGCTCCGGGGCTTCAGTGATGTGTTTTTCTTGTTCAATCTGCAGCAAGCAGCCTGATCTCGGTCAGCCGCGCTCAGTCTGCCCCTCCTCGGAGACAAACAGACAGAGCGGGTTAGAGTGAGCGTGGCGGACCAAAATCAGACAGCCTTCTTCGGACTGAATGAAAATAACAGACCGCTGAAGCCCCGGAGCTCGAAAGTCCATCGTAAAACTAACTTTACCGCGGTTTAATGTGGTACTATGGCTCTGATGACATTGCACGTTGCTGTCTTGTTTTGTGGTGTTTCTAGTGTAAAATACTTCTACACAGTGGACATGATTACATGAAAACATCTTATTTACATGTTATTTACATGTTCTTTGCATGTTGTTTGCAGATTTTTTTTCATTTACCCTTTATTTATACAGGTAGCCTTATTGCGTAACGAGAACTAATTTTCAAGAGTGACCTATTTTTTGGGGGGAGCAAATGGTGGTGGTGGGTGGTGGTGGGGGGTGTTAAGGGCCTTGCTCCGGGGTCCAGAGTGGGGCAAATGAGGGTGGAGACAGGTGTGGGTGTTTCACCTTTTCCACCCACATTTTGATGTTGATGGTACTGGGAGCTGAACCTGCGACTTTCCGATCCCAGGCCTATCTTCTCTAGTCTCTGCGCCACCATTCCCCCAAATTTACATGTTACTTACATGTTATTTACATGTTGTGTGTTCTTTGCATGTTGTTTGCATGTTGTTTTCATGTTGTTTACATGTTATTTACGTGTTTGTGTGTTGTTTGTGTGTTGTTTACATGTTGTTTGCATCTTATTTGCGTGTGTTCACATGCTCTTTGAATGTTGTGTGCAGGCTAGTTACATGTTATTTGCATGTTGTTTACATGTTTCATATATGTTATTTACATGTATTTTGCATGTTGTTTGTATGTTCTGTATATGTGCTAGTGTGAGTGCACATGGTCACCTTGTGCAGTCGTCCCTCTTTATCTCCCAGGAAAGCTATAGTGTGTCCGGCCTCTGTTGCTGCAGCAACAGCAGTCAGTTGTGTGGGCAGGGTGATGATGGGTGTGGCTTGAAGTGGCACAGCGCTGGCGATAGGGTTGGGGGTGTGTTCTCCCCCGCAGGAGTATTCTGAGAGAGAGTCCTAGAAAATAGAAGTTACATTTAGATAAAACAATTCGAGATAGGAACACCAGAAGGACCCAATGGCACTGAATAATGACATTATCATGTGACATCATACGTGTTTTACCTTTGGTAATTTGAGACATGTCGATGACACAGCGTACTCAATGTACGCCTCCTGCTGTCCGCCACTGCCCTGCCCTCTCTCTGTGTAACATACTTCCTGTGCTCGCCGCATCATGGCATCCAGTTTGGCCATCCCAAAAATACAGAGTGCAGAGCTACTTGTTGCTACAGGAGTTGAGGCCTGGCCAGCTGCCATGACGACAAACAGAGCTGGCTCTCCTGAGTGGTTTCCAAGCCATGCTCCCTGTGCCAGATTGTAGCCCCCACGGCACAGCAGCGGCACCTCCATGTAGGAGTAGAAGCTGCGGTCAGTGGTGCAGAGCCTAGAGGCATATGTCTGGTACTCTTTCTTGTGCCACATGTCTCGTCGGGAAAACAGGAAGTAGATATAGTCTCTGTGGACAAAAGCTTTCACAAAGTGATTGTTGTACTCGGAGTAACTTCCTACAACTAGTTTTCCAAGCTCCTCTTCCTGTGAGAAGGCTCTTTTGGATGGAGTCACTGGGGAGAGACGTCGTGTTGTGATTGGCGGGATATCTCCGGGACCTTTGCTAGTGTAGCCTCGACCAACCAGCATCAAATGCAAAATGCTGCCAGCACCACCTCCTTCCTGTTTGTTCCTTGTGGTTATTATCACACCAACAGTGGAGACTCGAGGGTCATTGGCAGCAACGTACTGAGTGTCGACGGGGTTGGAGGTTCGATAAAGGATCTGAGAGATGTTTGACAGACTCCTTCAGAGAAATCAGGGCATAAAATGATGAGACATGTTTTAGCTTAGGACACGATGAGTCAAAAAAAATTTCAAACAATAACATTTTTTACAAAAACAAACTAAAATTAGCAGTAATAATTTTTTCATTAAATCAAATATAGACTGTTTTTGTCCTGTTGAGCTCTATGAATTGTCAAAAACAATAGCTTCATCCAAACCATCCACGTGTTTGTTAGATCCGATCCCAACCAGGCTATTTAAAGACATATTTCCCTTAATTAACAACCACCTTTTAGATCTGCCTAATTTGTCTCAAATGAATGGTTATGTCCCACAGCACTTTAAGGTTACTGTAATTAAACCTTTACTTAAGAAGTCTGATCTTGATTCAGGAATCCTAGACAGCTATAGACCTATATCTAATCTAACTTTCATCTAAAAAATTCTTGAGAAAATAGTTGTAGGTCAGTTGCGTGAACATCTACAAAAAAATAATCTGTGTGAAGGGTTTCAGGGTTTAGAGCTTATCATAGCACAGAAACTGCACTGGTGAAAGTTACTAATGATATTCTCATGGCCTCAGACAATGGACTTGTGTCTATACCGGTGCTGTTAGACCTCAGTGCTGCATTTGATACAGTTGATCATAATATTCTACAAACCGGATTCCAAAAAAGTTGGGACACTAAACAAATTGTGAATAAAAACTGAATGCAATGATGTGGAGATGGCAAATGTCAATATTTTATTCGTAATATAACATAGATGACAGATCAAAAGTTTAATCTGAGTAAATGTAACATTTTAAAGGAAAAATATGTTGATTCAAAATTTCACAGTGTCAACAAATCACAAAAAAGTTGGGACAAGTAGCAATAAGTGGCTGGAAAAAGGAAATTGAGCATATAACGAACAGCTGGAAAACCAATTAACACTAATTAGGTCAATTGATAACATGATTGGGTATAAAAAGAGTTTCTCAGAGTGTCAGTGTCTCTCAGAAGCCAAGATGGTAAGTGGATCACCAATTCCACCATTGTTGCGCAGAAAGATAGTGCAACAATACCAGAATGGTGTTACCCAGCGTAAAATAGCAAAGACTTTTAAGTTATCATCATCAACTGTGCATAACATCATCAAAAGATTCAGAGAATCTGGAACAATCGCTGTGCATAAGGGTCAAGGCCGTAAAACTCTACTGGATGCTCATGATATCCGGGCCCTTAAACGTCACTGCACCTCAAACAGGAATGCCACTGTCAAGGAAATAACAGAATGGGCTCAGGAATACTTCCAGAAAGCATTGTCAGTGAACACAATCCACCGTGCCATCCGCCGTTGCCAGTTGAAACTCTACAGTGCAAAGAGGAAGCCATTTCTAAGCAAGCTCCACAAGCTCAGACGTTTGCACTGGGCCAGGGGTCATTTAAAATGGAGTGTGGCAAAATGGAAGACTGTTCTGTGGTCAGATGAGTCACGATTTGAAGTTCTTTATGGAACACTGGGACGCCATGTCATCCGGACCAGAGAGGACAAGGATAGTCCAAGTTGTTATCAACGCTCCGTTCAGAAGCCTGCATCACTGATGGTATGGGGTTGCATGAGCGCTTGTGGCATGGGCAGCTTGCATGTCTGGAAAGGCACCATTAATGCACAGAACTATGTTCAGGTTCTAGAACAACATATGCTCCCATCTAGACGTCATCTCTTTCAGGGAAGACCCTGCATTTTTCAACACGATAATGCCAGACCACATTCTGCAGCAATCACAACATCATGGCTACGAAGGAGAAGGATCCGGGTGCTGAAATGGCCAGCCTGCAGTCCAGATCTTTCACCTATAGAGAACATTTGGCGCATCATAAAGAGGAAGGTGCGACAAAGAAGGCCCAAGACGATTGAACAGTTAGAGGCCTGTATTAGACATGAATGGGAGAGCATTCCTATTTCTAAACTTGAGAAACTGGTCTCCTCTGTCCCCAGACGTCTGTTGAGTGTTGGAAGAAGAAGGGGGGATGCCACACAGTGGTAAAAATGGACTTGTCCCAACTTTTTTGGGATTTGTTGACGCCATGAAATTTGGAAACAACAGATTTTTCCCTTAAAATGATACATTCTCTCAGTTTAAACTTTTGATCTGTGATTTGTGTTCTATTCTGAATAAAATATTAGATGTTGGCACCTCCACATCATTGCATTCAGTTTTTATTCACAATTTGTTTAGTGTCCCAACTTTTTTGGAATCCGGTTTGTATTACAGAGACTTGAATATGATATTGAGATTATAGGAACGGCTCTAAATTGGATTAAATCATATTTATCTGATAGATTCCAATTAGTAAATGTAAATAACAATTATTCTTCATAATCCAAACATAGTCATGGAGTTCCTCAGGGCTCAGTGCCTGGACAAATACTCTATTTTATAAATTCTTCCATTAGTTAAAGTTATTAAACAACATGGGATACATTTTCATTATGCTGATGATACACAGTTAAACCAGCCACTAGAGAGCACAAGCCAGTGTATCTCTTGTGCTGGTCCCAAGCCCGGGTAAATGATGAGGGCAGCTATGTAAGCCTCTGGGGAGCAATTGGGGATTAGGTGTCTTGCTCAGAGGCACCAGGACATGTGGGAATGACTGGGGATCAAACCTGGCACTTCCGGGTCTCGGGTAGACTCCCCTGCCTTTACCCTATCTCGGACCCCCCGAGAACTTGAAGAGGTGGAGGTATGCACTTGAAAGAAGAGGAATGAAAGTCAGCCGTAGTAAGACAGAGTACAGGTGTGTGAATTAGATGGAAGAGGTGGAACAGTGAGGATACAAGGAGCAGAGGTCACAAAGGTGCAGGACTTTAAGTACTTGGGGGTCCACTGTCCAGGAAAATGGGGAGTGTGGTAAAGAGGAGAAGAAGAGAGTCCAGGCAGGATGGAGTGATGGAGAAAATTTCAGGAGTGATTTGTGACAAAAGGATGTCAGCAAAGTTCAATTCAATTCACTTTATTTATATAGCACCAAATCACAACACAGTTGTCTCAGGGCACTTTACAGGAACATTCACATACATAGAAAAGACTATTAGTAAAGTTCTCTATCTAAGGAAGCAGCAGACAAGTTGAATCTTCACTTCATTGCAGTCTCCCATCATGAGCAAGCACAATGGCAACAGTGGAAAGGAAAGACTCCCTTTTAACAGGAAGAAACCTCCACAGAACCAGGCTCAGGACAAGTGGCCATCTGCTTTGATCAATGGGGTTTAAGAGGACAGGAAGTAGAGGCAAACAAACACAGAATGGTAGGTCCAGATATAGGTCCAGGTGTATCTGAAAAACAAAAACATATGTCTGTAACGATCTGCGCCTGCCCTGCTCTGTGCAGATAGTTAATGACTCTCAGGTGCCACATATTGTGTTTAATTAGAGATTCCCCTTTATATACTGTGCTCTCCTGCATCTCAGGCAGGGGAGCATTAGGTGCTTAAGCTGCATCTTCACGGTCGTCTCCTAGTGCCTTGGTATTTCCTGTTTTTCCTACGAATGTCAGTAGTATCGCTGCCCCGACAGCATTATTTGTTATTGTTGCCTTTTTGTGATTAAAACGCATTTTTTGTAACCTTGTTGGAGTCCTGCTTGCATTTGGGTCTCAACCACCGCTCGACCGTGACAGAATGCTCCCCTCAACAAAGAGACCCAGCAAGCAGCTCCACTTTTTTGAGTATTTTTCAAGTAACACAGGAAGAACTGTCCATCGAGAGAAAAGAGAGTGGGACAGGAGATCGCCTCGCTCTTACCTGGCACACTCCATGACGGCTTCCACGCCCTCGAGGTTTCCTGCTCTGCCACCAGTGGACTTCACTGCTGCAGCCCCTGTGGTCGCTTCCAGGCCTACCGCAGTCTCCGTAGTTTTTAAATCTCCTGCAGCCTCTGATGAGTCCACGCTCCCGGTGGGTCCCACGTCCTCAGTTGTTCCTCTGTCGGCGACTACTCCTACACCTCCAGTGACTCCTGTGCCAGCCGCTACTGCTGCTGCTCCTGAGGTCACCACGTCAGCTGCTGCTCCTCTGCTGGTTCCTGCCTCCTCCGCTGCTGTCGCCTCTGAGGTCACCGCGTCAGCCGCTGCTGCCTCTCTTCTGGTTCCTGTTGCTGCGCGCAGCCCCCGAGGTGGATCTCACTTCCCCTGCTCCGAGGGGGTCCCGGCGGACGCTCATCACCTCTACGTTTCCGAGGGGGTCCCGGCGGACGCTCCTCACCTCTACGTTTCCGAGGGGGTTCCGGCAGACGCTCCTCACCTCTCCGTTTCCGAGGGGGTCCCAGCAGATGCTCCTCACCTCTCCGTTTCCGAGGGGGTCCCGGCGGACGCTTCTCACCCCTCCTGTTCCGAGGGGGTCCCGGCAGACGCTCCTCACCTCTCCTGCTCCGTGGGGTTACAGACGGACTCCGCTTCTGCTCCTATATTGTTTGTTTGTTTTTGGTGCCCTCCGGCCATTGGTTTTTTCCCCGCCACCCAAGTTGGGTTGGGGTATTTTAGAACGTCAGGTGCCATTTATTAGAGAGGGGGATACTGTAACGATCTGCACCTGCCCTGCTCTGTGCAGATAGTTAATGACTTTCAGGTGCCACGTATTGTGTTTAATTAGAGACTCCCCTTTATATACTGTGCTCTCCTGCATCTCAGGCAGGGGAGCATTAGGTGCTTAAGCTGCATCTTCACGGTCGTCTCCTAGTGCCTTGGTATTTCCTGTTTTTCCTACGAATGTAAGTAGTATCGCTGCCCCGACAGCATTATTTGTTATTGTTGCCTTTTT